AAAAATTAGCCAGGCATGATGGCATGCGCCTGTAATCTCAGGTGCTCGGGAGGCTGAGGCAGGAGAATTGCTTGAACCTGGGAAGCAGAGATTGCAGTGAGCTGAGATTGCGGTGAGCCAAGCAGAGTGAGTTATTTTGCTGTCTCAAAAAAAAAAAAAAAAAATTGTGTCCTACAGCATGAAGATGCATTACTCAAAAAGTTCATCAGTCCAAACTAAAACTTAAAATAACATTTAAACATTTAATAAAAGTTATAGAAGATTCCAGGTGACAAAACAAAAATGGGTAAGGGAAGCATGGATGTGTTAGGATTAGCACATTCTGTGACAGAAGAGGTGGAGGGGGAGACCCAGGGCTGTGGACCTGAGCATGCCCCTGGATTCAAGGCCCAGCTCTCCCACCCAAATCAAGCATTTACCCTCTTGAAGCCATCCGCTTTGCCTGTAAACTGGGGACATGGTTAGCACCTAGGTCACAAGGTTGGGATGAATAATAAATGAGGCAAAACATGAAAGAGCTTGGCACAGAGTAGGCACAATTTTTATTAACTATGGGGGACCTATGTATCCTGCATTCCAGCAGTTCTCAACTTTTCCTGGATCAGCAGTTCCTTTAAGAATCTAGTAAAAGCTAAAGAAAAATGAACATAGCAAGCCCAAACTTCACCTATTATTTCTGCCCCCCTAAGTCTCCCAAAGGGTACATGGAACCCAGGTTATAACCTTCTCAACAGATATGGCTTACTTAGTATACGGAAGTGGCCAAATCTGGAGAAAAGATACAAGAGTGATGAATCTGGCCCCGTGTTAGACATGTGAACGCAACACAGAAGGAGACCAAGACCCAGGCTTAGGGAACTCGGCCTGGGTGAGAGGCAGCAGGTCAGCGGGCAATCCCATTCAAGTGCCTCACAGGTAGAGGGTGGTCCACTATTGTCCTCACTTGGTGAGACCCCAGTGTTAGGCTCCATCTCCCATTGGAGGGATGGGGGTGACAGTGAAGTGTGGTGAAGTACTCTTGGCTATTGCAAGGAGGTTGCCCCCCAAGGCTGGCTGGATTTGGAAGAATTGGCATCCTTCCACAGTTTTCCCAGCTTATACCTGGACCTCCATTTTGAAAGTTAAGAGCCAAGTATTTGACACTTTTTTTTTTTTTTTAAACCTGACTTTCCAAGCAGTCAGAGCAGCTGTAGTACATCTGACCTGCCTTCACTTTCTATCTTCTCTGGGAGCACCAGGAACTGAAGAATGGCAAGAAGTGTGAAGAGAGGGATGTGGCTCTGGCCGGGTGCGGTGGCTAACACCTGTAATCCCTGCACTTTGGGAGGCCGAGGACACTTTTTTCTTTAGCTTCTCCTTGACAACCATTCCCCTGGGCAATGAGTGGCTGACTTCCAGCCGACTTGGCTGGAGTCAGAGGTTCAGTGTCCAAGCTAATTCACTGAAGTGTGGGTGTTAGGGTGAGGAGGGGGCACACAGCTATGACCTGCCCTTATTCCCTCTCTCATCTTCTTGCCTATCATGCCTGTTTGCTATTCTTCAAATGATGGGGGCAGGGGGGGCCTCCCGACTCCCAGCTCAGGACTTTGCGCTTGTTTTCCCCTCTGCCTGGAGCCCCTTCTTTCCATGTGGCTTCTTCCATTACCACCTTCCCCTCTTTGCTCAAACGTCACCTTCTCAGTGATCATCTGATTTCTCTGACCGTCCCATTCAAAAATGCCTTCCCTATTGCCTACACTGCCTAGCACTCCCTGTAGCCCTTACCCACTTCATTCTTCTCCATAGTACTTATCACCACCTGACATATTTTTAAAACTTATTTACATGTGTATTGTCTGTCTCCCCCCCCGCGCACACACGCTAGAAATGTATATTCCATGAGGGTGGGGATATATGTCTGTTCTGCTCACTGTTGTGTATTCTCAGCACTTCAAGTAGTATCCAACACATAATAGGTGCTCACTAAATATTCTTAAATGAATAAATGTGTATTACCCTGCATGACTGTGAAAATGCTATAATAGCAGAACAGAGTGCTATGGGAAGCACATGGCAGGGGCTCCTATCTCTAAATTGGTGGAGCAGTTCTGGTCAGGGAGGGCTTCCTGTAAGGAGTGGCATCTGAAGAATGTCAGCTGGTACTCACTGCCCGGCAACCCTGGTGTTTCTATAGTTAGTGCTCTCCCTTGTGCCCCTAAGTGGGGATGGGAGTCTGAAGGCCTGCTGTCTGATTCTGGCTCCGCCTCTAAGTCCCTGGCCTTCCCTAGGGCTCTATTATCTGTACGGAGCCAGAGACAATAGCTAAGCTATGTGGATCTGTCACTCCAGCTTTTGTTCTCCCCTCCTCATTGCACAATCCACAGATAACCTATTTTTGGAGACAACTTCATTGGGATTAGTAAGACAAACAGCTTTGGCCCTTGCTGATGGCCTTCTTCAGGGAAACAGCATCTTCACAAGAGATTTACAAAACTGCTTGGGAGCAGAAGAAAACGCTAAAACCCAGTGACTGCTCTCAAGTATTGTGTCAGCCACTACTGTCAGAAGCATTCTATGTCCTCACCAAACACTACCTGAAACCCAAAAACCACTGACACCTGTACATTACTCCATTCGCTCATTCATTTTTTCATTAATTCATTCTACAAACTATTCTTAAACACCTGCACAAAGCTTGGAGCCAAGGACTTCAGCAAACCCAGTCTTTTCCCTCATGAAAATTTCATTCTGAAAGGGGAGATTGAAGCCTCCTCAGCACTTTGGGAGGCCGAGGCAAGAGGATTGTTTGAGGCCAGTACTTTGAGACCAGCCTGGGCAACACAGTAAGATCCTATAGCTACAAAAAAAAATTAATTTAAAAAATCTTATATACAAGGTAGAAAGACATTTGTGTAACTCACGAGTTAAGTATTAGAACCATAGAATCAGCTGTAACTGGGTGACAATCTTGATTTTCCCATGTATTAGTTGTGTCTTCTTGGGCACATCACCTATCCTCTCAGAGGCGTCGGTAAAATGAGAATAATCAGACCTATCTTAAAAGGTTGTCATGAATGTAAGTTACACTTGAGATGTAGCATGCTTAGTGCAGTGCCTGGCACATGGTATTTGTTCAGTAAATGAGAGTTATTAAGTGCCATTGTAGGCATACCAATAAAGGGCTTTGGGAATCCAAGGGTTCACGTCCATTTGCACAGAATCAGAAAGGCTTCATGGAGGAAGTGGCATCTGAGATGGGTCTAAAAGATGTGGCTGATCAAGCGTGGTGGCTCACGCCTGTGGTCCCAGTACTTTGGAGGCCAAGAAGGGCAGATCATCTGAGGTCAGGATTTCCAGACCAGCCTGGCCAACATGGTGAAACCCCGGCTCCACTAGAAATACAAAAATTAGCCAGGTATGGTGGCACATGCCTGTAAACCCAGGTACTCGGGAGGCTGCAGCAGGAGTATCACTTGAACCTGGGAGAAGCAGGTTTCAGTAAGCTGAAATAGCCCCATTGCACTCCAGCTTGGGCAACAGAGTAAGACTCCATCTCAAAAAAAAAAAAAAAAAATTTTAAAAAAGATGTGGCCAAGTAGAGAGGGCAAGAAGGAGAAGCAGAGGAGACAAAGCATGATGAGGAAGAGGAGAAGATGGGGCTGGGAAAGGAAGCCAGAGGAAGATCAAGGCAGAAGAAAGAGCCCCACCAATGTAAGCAGACCATGATGTGTGGAGCACCTAAGGTTTGCCATAGAAGAGGGAGAGTCGTGCTTCGCAGGAACCATTGGGAAATAAAAGAGAGACAGGTGGAAGGAGGGACTCTGGGCTGGGAGGGTGGCTAGGAGGCCCTGACAATGGGCCAGCAATGAGGATTCAAGCAGGGAGTTCCAAGGTGAGATCTGTGAAAGGTGGCTGTGTGGGCGGACATGGGACTAACCCAAGAGGTTCCATGTCCATAGAGTTGCCCCGTCATGGTTTTCCTGTGACACACTGAACACACACAATAATCTCCCCCTGAAAGAGGAAAATGGCACTCTAGAAGATTTCTTTCTTGGGTCACATAGCTAGTGTGAGGGAGAGCCAGAGCAAGACCACACTGCCTGGTCCCAACTGAGAAATGGTTTCTCTTACTAGATCTGTCTGTGTGACAGATGTGTTTCAACCCCAGATAACAATGCCCAGAACGTAACTCAGATGAGTAGCAGTACAGCCTGGCCATTAAGGACTTATGCTTGAGGTTAGAAACAGCTGCATTCAAATCCTGGTTCTGCTGCTTGCCAGCTGTGTGGTCCCGGACAAGAGATTTAACCTCTCTCTGCCTTCATTTCCTCATTGGTAGGCCTGGCAGAATAATAGAATCTTCTTCACAAAGTTGCTATGAAAAATAAAAGAGCCAATGCGTGGAATTGAGAAGTACTGGGCATATAGGAAATGCTCAACTAGTAGCCAGCAGTATCAGTGAGAGGTCAGCATTATCTAGTGCGAGGGAACAGGGAAAATGAAGTCTTAGAATTAGCCAGCAGGGAAAGAGCTGAGCAGAGCTGAAGGCTGCATGGTGGTTTCAGAAACTGCCTACTTAATTTGAAAAGAACAATGGTAGGAAAGGCTAGATCTTCCAATTTTACCTTATCTGAAAAGCTTGATTTGCTAAAGCTTGTGAAGCCATATGTGAAAATTCTCGAAGAACACACTAATAAACATTCAGTAATAGTGGAAAAGAATAGATGTTGGGATATCATAGCAGTTAACTATAATGCAATTGGAGTAGACCGCCCTCCTCGAACAGCACAAGGCCTACGCACCCTTTACAAAAGGCTCAAAGAATATGCCAAACAGGAGCTATTGCAGCAAAAAGAGACCCAATCAGATTTTAAAAGCAATATTTCGGAGCCAACCAAGAAAGTTATGGAGATGATTCCCCAGATTTCCAGTTTTTGCCTGGTAAGAGACAGGAACCACATACAAAGTGCAAACTTGGATGAGGAGGCACAGGCTGGTACCAGTTCACTACAGGTAATGTTGGATCACCATCCTGTTGCCATTACAGTGGAGGTGAAGCAAGAAGAAGACATTAAACCACCTCCTCCACTGGTTTTAAATTCTCAACAAAGTGATACTTTAGAGCAAAGAGAAGAACATGAATTAGTACATGTTAGGGAAAGATCCTTGTCGCCTTCACTTTCCTCTGTTGATATGAGAATGACATCGTCTCCATCTTCTATTCCAAGGAGAGATGATTTTTTTCGGCATGAGAGTGGCGAACACTTTAGGTCACTATTAGGGTAGGATCCTCAGATCCTGCAAATGTTGAAAGAGGAGCATCAGATAATTTTAGAAAATCAAAAAAATTTTGGATTGTATGTTCAGGAGAAGAGGGATGGATTGAAAAGAAGGCAGCAGCTAGAGGAAGAACTACTAAGAGCAAAAATTGAAGTGGAGAAGCTGAAAGCAATTCGCTTACGGCATGATCTACCTGAATATAACAGTCTCTAAGTTTTTTTTTTTTTTTTTTTTTTGGTCAATCTTGCAATTGGTTAATTTTGATTTTGGCCAAATTACTTTAATTTGGGAGTATCCTGAAACAGA